ATGTCACTGAACTGTGTGTGTAGAAATTTTTGAAATGGTGTATCTTTGGCTATGTATATTTTCACCAAAAAAAAAAAGGTCGAGAAGGGAGAGGGTTGACATGTTGTGGGGTTGTTAACCAATGTCATAAAACAATACGTGTACTACTGTTACATGAGAAACTATTTGTTCTGTAAGCCTTCACCTGAAGTATAATAAAAAAAAAAAAAATACTTGTATACATCTTTGTTTACTTATTACAGATTCTTAAAAGTGTAGTGTCCAAGTTTATAAAAAAGAAAACTACTACTACCTGCAAGTTGTGAGATCATAAACTAATGACTTTTTCTCCTTAAAACCTAGTTTTCTCAACAGTAAAATAGCAATAATAATAATATTTGGTTATTTTGAAGGTTCCTAAAAATATTTGGCAAAATGTAATGGAACGTTAGTTATTATTTTTACTGTTATTACTTTTGCCATCTTGCTCTTAAGAAAGATTATAGCCATTTCTAAGCAGTGTAAGAAAATAGTTTCCATAAGTCAACAATGGGTGTTATCGCTCAAACAGAACACACAACAACAAATCAAAAAAATATAGATAATTGTTATATGGAAATGGCATCTTGTTTAAATTTGCATTTCTTTCATAAATGAGGTGAAATAATTTTTCATAGTGGCAATTTACATATCTATGTTTGTGAATTGTCTTTTCCAATGTGATTTAAAAAAAAATCAGTTTTAATTTCTAAAATGGTAATAGCAGTAGATAAAACTCACTTAATCAAAAGCTCTTTGGGGTCCTCAATAATTTTTGAGAGCATTAGGGATCTAAGTGTAGGCTAAATTTTGAACTGTAGGTAGATATTCTATAAATTGATTTTTTTCCATATTAAGAGGATTGTCCTTAATGTTTCCTGAAATGCTTCTTTAGAAATGGGTGAGGGTTGCACAGCCAATTATTTTAATTGCTGTCAGTAAGTTGTACACCTGTAAAAAGTTGAACTGGCAAAAGTTGTGTGATGTTTACAACAACGACAAAAATAAAAAGAGTAGCTCCTAAGACTGCTTATGTACAACCAAACACCTCATGAGATTTAGTTCCTTGGTTTGGAGCTTTAGGGTCATGGTATCATGGGACATCTCAGTTAATTGGCCTAGTAACTTGGTTAATGCTTCTGTTCTACCTCCTAGTTTGTGGATAGTGCCTGGGGTCTTAAAAGATTGCAAGCGGCCATCCAAGACACAGCAATTGGTCTCTATTCACCTGGAACAACAGAGGAAGAAGGAGAGTCAGGCATAGGAGGACATGGAACATAACAACTGCCTCCATGAACACTGCCTCCTTTCCATGAGACCAGAAGAACTGGATGGTGCCCGGCCACCATTACTGAACATTTTGATAAAAGACTCCATAGAAGAATCCTGATCAAAAGTGGGAAAATGTAGGACAGAATTTCAAATTCTCATGGTCTCTAACTTTCTGAAGCCGTGGAAGGTAGATAAATCCCTGAAACTATTGCCCTGAGATAACCTTTAAACCTTAAACCAAAAATATCCCTTGAAGTCATCTTTAAACCCAACAACAGTTTAGCTTAATTAGTAAAAAAGA